GCTGCCGCTGCCGGGGCGGGGCGCAGCCGGGCCGGGCGCTCGGGCAGCCCTGACCCCGTCCCGCCTGGCCGCTCTCGCCCCTGCAGCTGGGCGAGGACCATGAGAAGACCAAGGAGAGCTCCGAGTACCTCAAGTGCCTGACCCAGCAGGCCGTGGCCCTGCAGCGCACCATGAACGAGATCTACCGCAATGGCTCCAGCGCCAACATCCCGCCCCTCAAGGTGAGTCTGGGACAGAGCTGGGGGTCCCCCGCCCCAGCCTCCCGGCGCCCACACAGTGGCTCATCTTCCCTGGCACCCCTCAGTTCACAGCCCCCAGCATGGCCAGTGTCTTGGAACAGCTCAATGTCATCAACGGCATCCTCTTCATTCCGCTCAGGTGAGGCCCCCCCTCCACCTGTCCCCCGCTCCCAGTTGGAAGCTGGCCTGTAGTTTTTAAAACATGTACTACCCTGACGTGGCTCAACATTGGGAAACCCGGCCAGGGCTGAGAAGTTCCTTCTGAGTCCTCCTGGAAACGCTCTGCATAATAGAGCAAACAAATAGTTGTAATCTTTCCCCTCATTTTTTACACAACATTGTAGCACACCATGCACATGGGCATTTTTTCTTCATTTACGTATCTTTCCAAATCTGTAAAGAGCAGCTCCATTCTCTCTCGGGCTTCCTGCTGTCCCCGCGCAGGCATGTGCCTCATAACCAGCGTCTCCAGCAGTGCTGCCTGCGCGAACCCCGCGGTCCTCCCTCCCTCCCACAGTGGGGACACGGGCTTGCTCACCCAGTGGTTAGGGAGCTTATAGTGGACCTTCTGTGTGTCGCACACTCTCCCGACTCTTATTTTCTGTGCGTTACCTCCTTTGTGAGCCATCACAGGATGCTGCAGGTGTGAACTGGGTGGGAAGGTGAGTGGGAGCTGGGCCTTACCCGAGGGCTCCGATGAGTGCGTGGAGTTCCTGCTCTTCCAGCGCTTCGGGGCCTTCCTGCTCTAGGGAGGGAAGGGAAGCACTTGCTCCACGCATGTCTCTCCTTGAACGAAGCAGAGCCTGGTCTTACCCCATGTTTAAGTTTAAGCAAAGCCAGCGAGGTGATGGAAGGCCCAGGCCTGCTCTGACACCCACCCTCACCCCATCCTTCTACTCAGCCAAAAAGACCTGGAGAATCTGAAAGCTGAGGTGGCGCGGCGGCACCAGCTCCAGGAGGCCAGCAAAAACAGGGCTAAGGCTGAAGAGCCCATGGCCACCGAGCCGGAGCCAGCGGGGGCCCCGGAGGATGCGGCCTCCCAGCCCCAGGCTGACAAGGACCCTCCTTCCCCAAGCTTGCAGGGGTAGAAAGGGAGAGACAGATGGACAGTTAGCTGCCCCGTTACCCAATGATCCAGGCTCCAGGAGAAGGGGGGCACGCCCTGCAGATCGGGAGAGGAAGCAAGTCCCTATTCTTCCACATTTCCAACCCCAACCCTACCCCCAGTATCCTGCTGGGACCCTGGCCTGGCCTGTCTGCCCCCGGAGAGATGTTTTTGCACTGGTTCAATGAAAATACCGATGCAGAGGCCTAATTGAAGACACGTGAATGGAGCGTGTGGGCATCAGTTCCCAGCTGGGGGACAGGCGCCCCTCAGGCACCCCATCCTCGAGCAGGTGTGTGCGAGTGTGTCCATGCCCGCGAGCGTCTTGATCTGTCTTCCTAACGTGTACATAGCCCGTCGGTTCGGAGTGGGTGACGTGCAGATGCGATTTCTCAGGTCATTTGTATGTTTGACATTACGGCTGCTGCTTCTGCTGCCAGTACCCCTGGGCCCAACCTGGCTACAAGCGCAGGTTTGAAGCCGACAAAGGGGGAGCTTTCCTGTGTCCTGGGATGGGGAGTCAGCTCTGTGGCAGGGCTGGAGAGCTGGGGTGCACTTTAGCTCTGTGGCAAGACGAGAGCTGCAGTGGCTTTATTAATCATGGTTGGGACTGGCCTGGCTGTGCTTGGGGTGGTGGGGAAGGGCAGGGTGGGCAGCGGTGGTTCCCCCAGGTACCCATGTCCAGCCCCCACCTGTCTGCCTCCCTGCTCCCTGCTTCTCAGCTGGGGATGCCCTGGGGGCTGCAGTCTGAATGTATCCTCACCATTTTAACCTGAGCTGCCTGACGCACAGTGGGAGTGGGTAGGGCACAGGCCTAGGGGAATCAGTTGAATCATGGATTCTGGGGGTAAATTACCAGGTACAGGCGTGATTGTCATTTGTTTGCGGAGCCCAGCTCCCTACCTGGTCCTCGCCACACAAGCACCTTCAACAGAGAGTACCTCTGGGTGTGGCAGATGGGGGCGGCATGGAAGGCGGTGGCCCCCACAGGCCCCGGCTGCTCCCTCTCCCAGCTGCCTGTGCTGCTTCTGTGCCTGCTGTTGGAGCCCTGACTATGGGGGGAGATCACCACCCTTGTGAGCTTGAGGGAGCTGTTCCAGGGGTGGGTCCTCTGCCTGGGGGGAGCTGCTTATGGGTATGGTCTGTCCAAACACCTTGTTTCAAAGGGAGTGGGCGTGAGCTAGCAATCGAAGCATCCCCACAGCTGATCGAGAACTTTTTCTTGTTTTTAAACCATCACGTCTTCATTTCACATTGGAATAAAGTGAGTTTTTGAAACCTACTGCCCCAGCCCCTCCTGTGTGTTCTGTTTCAAGTCTTGATTGTGAGGGCTGTTGTCAGAAATGTTATTAGTAGAAGAGTTTAAAGCACTCGAATGTGTATAAATTGGGTCAAATTCAAGGTTATTGTTATAATGTCATTTAAGTGAGAAAAAGCGGGTGGAGTCACAGGCACCTGGCTAGGGTTTACTTGGCTGCCAGTCACTAGACCCATGGGAGTGGTACATAGATAAATGTCACCTGTTGGTCACAGGAGAAAGGCTGAGAATTTCTCCTCTATGGAGTTTTTGTGACGCAGGCTGGAGCGAAGGCCAGTTGGACTGAAGGGTGCTGCAAGGTGGCTCAGGCCCTGGGCCGGCCCTGATAGGTCACTCGCTGAGCACTGAACTCCAGGCATCTGGCTTTGTCCCTTTGCTTGAATAGGAAGGATTGGGTTGAACCCCCTTCCCCCCCAGGCCAGGAATGCTAGGAGAAAGGAGGGCTGTCTAAAGTGCCACACTAAGGTAGGTTTTAGGGCTAGCAAGACTCTTGGAGATCTAGTGAGATGGAGGGAGAAGAGCCCACCTTGGCTGGCTTGAGGGGCAGGGCCTGTGAAGTGGAAGATGGGGAATGGGGGCTAGAGAGGACCTGTCTCTGAGAAGAGGGGAAGTCTCGGTACAGCTAGTGGCTGCTGCTTGGCCGCCCCCCTCCTTAGCAGGCAAGCCCTTAGACTCATGCACACTTGAATGCCTTTTTGAATACTTGGAGGGTTCATTGTGTCTTTGACATTTTCTAAAAAGAAAATTCCAATCCTAACATCTTAGTTTACCTGAGCCAACTGGATGTCCCTGGTCTCGAGGTTTTCTCTCGCGTGCCGCCTAAGGATTGCCCTGTGTGCCTTCACATATGCTCCCCATCCCTCCCTCCAACCCTGTTTTCTTTAGTCTCATGGTTGTGTTCTGAACATGCCTTCCTATGGCCTCCGTACTGTGAACACTGGTCACATGCTTCGCAGTGCTTCCAGAAATGGGGACATCATCTCGTAAAGCTGAGAATGGATCAGATTTAATTACTACTCTACCTACTAGTCACCTGAGAAGGCCCATTTTTCATGGTTGATCCCTTAAGCGTATTAATGGTGTTAGATAGCTTTTGACAACCCAAACAACAAGGGGCTGTTGTTTTATCAAGGACATGAGGCTCTAGGTGTGAAATTAACATTTTCGCCTTCCCTTAGTTGGCAGATTTCAGTTTTTTAAAAAGGGGGAGTGGTAGTATCCACAGGAAGGGTTAACGTGAGAGCTGGCACGTGTTGGGGAATGGTCCACGTGGATGGGCAGCTATTCAAGATTGAAATTCAGTCTCAGTTGTGTGAGCTACACCCACCACGTCTCTTCATGTCCCCCACTTTGGTCTTGCAATTTCCACTCTAACTTTTCTTCCATTTTAAAAAATTTCTTTTAACATACTACTATTGTTAACTTAAAAATATTTTTAAAATATTATAACCAAATTAAACTTTTAAGGTGTCATCTGTCTGCACCTGCCCTCCAACTGTGGTTAAGTATGAGTACTGAGAAAACAGACTTCATTGAGGAATTCCTATGTATCCTGAGGCTGAGACTAGGGCGTCTGAATGTGGCTTGAGTACCCCTCATCCGGAACAGCCTAAACCACCAGGTCAAATACGGCACGCACCATCTGGACACCCGCAGAGCGAGGGCAGGTGGCCCTCCATGGAAAGTGAACCACCCCCATGAAGGAGGCCAACCTGTTGATTAAACGCACACACACAGATACGCAGACCGTTCAAGGCAGGTACCCTGAGAATAAAGTCGTTTCACGTAGAATGATTGAGGAGCCTTCCTGAATTGCAAGTGCAGACAACTAATTCTTGCTTATGCACTCCCGGCCTCCACCCCATTTTTTACAGCCATCCCACACTGGAGTTAGCAGGGAGGGGCTCAGGGATGGGATGAGGGCCTTGCCTACATCACCGAGTTTAAAAATTGCTTATAAGATGTGAGAAGGTCCTTCTTAATACTTAAAATCGCTAATGCTGCTTTATAAAGGCAGAGCCAGATGAGGGAAAGAGCCAGTGTATTTAGGTTTGTCCCAACTCTCTAATGAGCTCAGTACTCTTGGTGTGACTTCACAACCGGTCTCTAGTCCCTACAAATGCGCTAGTATCTGCCAGCAGGAGTGTATGTGAGAATAAGGTAAGTGCTGGCACCTACCAGGCATTCAAATGCCAGGTGATTTCCCTCCCATAGTTCTTCCACCTCCACTTAAAGAGGGCTGGTGACTAAGTGGGAATGATGACCATACTGAATATCCACAAAGGAACAAACTCCACATGTCAGTGACGCTGGAAAAGAGGAGCGATCAGTTCCAACTCTAGCTGTGGGGCCCAGGGACCAGTGACTTGTCCAAATCTCTCCTTCAATGAGAAGTTAGCTGAATCATTTAGACCAGTGGTTCTCAAACTTGAGCCTGCGTGAGTTGCCTGGATGGCTTGTGAAAATACATCTGCTTGGTCTCACCGTTCTGTATGCAGTAGGTCTGAGATGGAGCCAAAGAGCTGACATTTCTAACAAGTCCCGGGGTGATACGGATGCTGCTGGCCTGGGGAATGTTTGAGAATCCCTCTGCTAGGAGATTCTGGCATGTCAGCAGTTGAGAATTGTGTATGAAAGTCATTTCACCAAAGACTACAAGGAGAGAGCTGTCACATGGTGTACGTACATGGACGGAACACCATTTCTCCAAGTCTTCAACTTTCCTTCCCTCATCTTTCATTAGGGACAGACATAACCATGAACCATGTAAGCAAGTTTGATGTGTGTGACATACCAGTGAGTCATCACTCAACAGGTTTTCAACAGCTAAAGGGTAGTGATCATAAGGCTAGAACTCCACCCCTGGGAAAAGTGGTCAGGTCCATCATCTGGATCTTAGCCTAGGGGAAGAGAAGTCCTGCCAGGAAATGGAAAAGCTGCAAAACACAGGAAACCAACCCCAAATTTCTTTGGTGCTCTTGGCCAAGCTTTGGGGAAGAGGCTACTCCCAGTAGGAGGCAGGAAAACAACTGGGCTTAAGAGCCACCACATCATTCAACAAGGCCTTTATACATGAAAATGGCTAGAGACTTCGTGTGTGCCCTAAAGACACTTTGGACACTAGCAGTAGCCTGGAGTGCAAGTCAGGATATCCAACATGTTCAAAACACTGAGACCTGGCCGGGTAGCTCAGTTGGTCAGAGCATCGTCCCAATACCTCAAGGTTGTGGGTTCAATCCCCAATCAGGGCACATAAAAGAATCAATGACTGGGAGTGGTGAACACACAATACAGTGTACAGATGTAGCACTGTGCACCTGAAACCTGTATAATTTTGTTAACCAGTGTCACCCCTATAAATTCAATTAAAAGGAAAAAAAGTGGAACAAAAATCAATGTTTCTCTAAAATCAATAAATAAAACACTTTACAGCATAGAGAAAGCCGTAGGTTTCTGGGGCAGGGGTGAACACTCCTTTGGCACATTTCAACCAAAACTTAAAACCCTTATCTCTGGGCCCTGATCACAAAAGGACCAAGTCTTTTTAAGAGGGGCTACAATAGGTCATTCCTGGCTTCAGCTCTCTGGCCCCAGCTGCAGACACAGCCAGAAAGGGCTACTGGCCCTGGCCAGTTTGGCTCAGTGGCTGGTGTCGGCCCATGGACTGAAGGGTCCCAGGTTTGATTCCAACCAAGGGCACGTACCTGGGTTGCAGGCTAGATCCCTGGCCCTGCTCAGAGCATGTGTGGGAGGCAGCCAATCGATGTCTCTCACATCAGTGTTTCCACCCCCCTTCCTCTCTCTGAGAAGCAATGGAAAAAATGTGTGAGGATTTAAAAAAAGAAAAGGGCTGCAGGAGGGGAGGGTGGATGCTCAGAAAGGAGGGGAGTGGGCTCTGGAAAACAGTCCTCAGATGGTGGATCTGACCACAAGAGCGCTTACTGCCGCTGCTCCTTCTACCTTCCCCCAAACAGGGAGAAGGAAGCAGACAGCAAAGACAGTGTTGACACTGCCCTAAAGGGAAAAAAGCCTTCCATCAAGGCCCTGCTATCCTGCCACCAATTTGTATCTTACTCTGTGACTGATGCTTAACACAGTCTCACTTCCTATTAGGACTCAAAAGGTTTTAAAGCTGTGCACAAGTAGACCCCCCCCTCCAAAAAAAAAAAAAATCACATCTAGTTTTTAGGCATTTAATAGTTTACCAATTGGTACAATAAGATTTTTTAATATGCAGAAAACATGAATAAATTTTGTTTTACACAGTCTGAGAGCAACAAATCTTACTGTAAAACACAAGAGCAATATTATATACATTCCTTTACTGATTTTTTAAAATTGTGTCAACATCTTCAGTTAACTCTTACAATCTGGGGAGCTGTTTTCTTTCTCCAATCACCACCTCGGCAATGTTCATATGAAATCAATGCTTGCCTTCATGTCAGTGTTAGAATCAACTTCTAACCCGAAGATTTTGTTTCTGTCATCTCCAGAGTGAGCTTTAGGGATGCCTGAAGGACAGGCAGGACAAGAAAGCAGCTACTTACATGATATAGTGGGAAGATAAAAGGCCAGTTCAGTCCAGTCGTGACTTGTAAATCCAGCTTGCCCTCCCCCCACCCCACTGGAAAAAAAACCAAAAACCTTTTCCACCACTTTTGTACATGTCGCTTCTCTACCAGGAGATTCTTCTTTGCATCATCTAGATTAACACATTGGACTTATATACAGCTGGACAGGAAGAGGAACCATTTTAAGTGCCTTGTCCTTCAATCCAACACTTTTAACGTCAGTTGCTTAAGGATTATCAAGCCACCACTGTCAACAAAACAAAATATCCTTTACTTTTAAATAGTTTTTCTTTAAATAAATTTACAAAAAACTATTTAATGAGTGATATTACCTGGAAGTTCACACAGAAACAGAAAGAGGCAAATAGGAGAGCAGGGCACTGACAGTAAGGA